CCGCTTGTATATATACGGACGTGGTGGTTAAGAGTTAGGTCCACCAGTTTAGCGGCTACATGCATACCCTGCTATATCAAAGAACAAGACAGTTATGAGTGATATAACACTTTCTACATAATCACACATGTTCTCCGAGCTACTGGTGTGAGTTTCATATATTTATGACAATTTCTGTGTTAAAAAGACACGGGGTGCAGATTTATTAGGCTGTGTTTTCAGTTTTGTTCAAAATATATCACATATATCACATATGCAGGACATCTTAAACTATTTTTTTTAATTAAGCAGCAAGGCAGAACAAAATCAGGGCTGTATCAAGACACAGGGACTAAACCCCAATTCAACCAGACACAGAACTGATCGGGAATTAAAACAGGACTACTTTAGGACTTAACCAAGACAGAACTAGAATCAAAACATTAAAAATCATCATAGACCTGCATTACACTTATTTTTTAATTCTACCAAAGTACACTATTTAGATTCACAAAAGTTTATATAATTATTTAGACTTGTTGTGCAAACAAGCCTGCATAACTTAATATAGAATTTGAAAAATAATAAACCTAAAAAGATACACTAGGTGCTAGATGCATGTTCTGATGAGTTTTGGCAAACAACCATTTGACTAACAGGTCTGTCTCACCTGCTCTTGTTCCATCTCTGTTCCTCTCTCTCCCTCTTTGTGCTGACAATCAAGCCAAACACCAACATCATCAAATATACAGTTGAAACCAGATATTTACACACTCTTCAGATAAAAACACAAACATTTTAATTGTAACATCAAATCAGACTAAATGTTCATTTTTTTAGATTGATAAATATAAAAAAAAACATTTGTTAAATTTAAGAGTAAAGTAAAACTATCTGTATTTTTTAATTGCAAATGGACCCAAATTGTATTCAAAACTGAGCCACACTTATGGAGCTCCACAATTATTTTCCTGGTGTTTTGGTTGACATCTCTTGATTTTTCCCATGTCAAAGAAACAGGCTCTGTGTTTTGCCTTATATGCATCCACAGGTGTGCCACCAGTTTACTCACATGGACTCTACGAACCTATCAGGAGCTTCTTAAGCTCAGAATGGAATCGTCTGGAGTTTTCTTATTAATTAACAATAAACTTAGTGTATATGTACTCCTAAATTTGATGAAAGTGATTAAAATAGACAGCTCTCTCTCTTTATTCTTAATATTTCAATATTTATTTATCTAAAACAAAAAAGTTTACTCTAAATTGATGTTTAACAGTAACAGTAAAAAAAGAAAGTGTATGCAAATATCTGGTTTCAACTGTGAATATACTGCTGTGTACTGAAAATTCTCTTGTTTTCCATAGAAATATATTGAACAACATACAAAGTATAATATATAAAATAACATTTTACCTGAGTTTTTTCTTTGAAAGAACCCACTAATGTCCATTGTTGTACATCAGTACATAATTGAAACAGATTTAGAGTGCTTTATTTAGCCGTGGAGGGTAACAACTGAAAATATGAAATAAACACACATGTAAGCTAAGACTCTCTAAAGAAACAGCATTGTTGTTGTTTGGCTTTTCATTTCGCCATTTGTTGATTCACTCCAAGAGCAAGTATCGTAATATGTGTCAAGTGATCAGTTTGATATTAATCTTTTGCGATACACAGTCATATTTACATTATTTGTACAGTACGAATGATTTGCTTTGGTACCTGCTCAAACTTAAGCTCTCCTCTGTCTGCACTTCTTCTACAGGAAACTCGCAGGCAGCAGCTTCTCTCGCTCACTTGCTTAATGTAGTGCTCAGTCGCCTAGCCACTGAGCTTGGATCATATCAAAATTAGGGGGAATTTACGCACAGTCGTAAATTCCCACAGTGGGCTATGTGCTTCGAATATTGTGTGTAGTTTTTGTTTTAAACAGTTGTCAGTCAGGCATCTAACTATGAAAAAAAAATTACACTCCAAAAGACCCCGGGCTTCTGAAAAAACAACCCGGGTTTAAGCCCAGTAAGCCACCCCCCGCTCCGCCAATGTACCATCCCCTCTGATTACAATATTAAGGACCCTTCTCCCATGATTACATGTCACATGTTTCTGATTAATATCACAGTTAAAATGAAAAAAAGAAAAGAAAAAGTTAATAAATCATATCGAGTGTGAATCAAGTCAAAAAGGTTAAGGAGCGTTTTCAAGGTTCTCCCACATATGGCGTGCTTTTCATTATAGTAATTCAGCATAATGCTCCAGCTCATTCAAGAATGCACTGGTCAACAGTTACAAATCACCTACACAAAGAGGCAGATTTGACTAAATAGTTCTTTTCTAAAATCATGATACAGTTTGAGTTCATGTTTCATTCAATTTAAAAAACTGCCCTTGATTACTCACAATGCCTTAAGCCCCACCACATTAGCACATAAACCGCGTCATTATAAACGTTAAACATTATAAACACACATGAGAAGACTAAGCTCTCCAGAAGCTCTCCATCTGTAATTCAGACAGTTCGATTTTCCTGATGTATGTTTTTCTTAACACTTGATGTCTGAGTGCACGTCTCCAGCTCTGCCTTCAGCTGTTTTGCTTCAGGCCGGTCTTCTGGATTTGCACACAGCATTGAGTGAATTATTTTCCTCTGTAAGAAACAACAATATGACTGAGATATGTTTTGTTCAGACCACCAAAATATTATCTAAAACTTTCTAAACTTAGGAGATCAATTCATTCCTTTACTGTTCCTCTGATGGGGACCATCTTTTCAAACAGATTATAGTATCTAGTAGTTTTGATAATCTACCTCTTGGGGAAAGGTCTTAGAGAACTCTTTGGGGAATTTCTGGCTTCTGATGTCTTCAAAAATCTGGTATTCATGCAGTGATAAGAGGACAAAAGAGGATGTTAGTCTATAATACAAACTTTGAACTACAATCTATTAAGCATTCCAAGTAATCTACTTTTTAAACAAGCTTTTATACTATTACAAGAAATCAGCAACTATAATCACAAGCCAGGCAATATGACAACATAGTTATGGCACAAATTTTTAAAATAAAATTAGACCTTGTTGTAGCCTTATGTTTATGAAACTGACTCACCTTTGCTCTCTCCATGCCTGGGAAAAGCTTCCAAAGAAGTTCAAAGAATATCAGCCCCAAAGCAAATACATCCACCTTCTGGTCGTAGTTTGTCCCGCTCTTGTGCGATGAAAAAGTAAAAACTAAATTAAAATAATAATTCTCCCACTTGCAATGCATTTTGACTGCCCTATTATATGCAATCTGCTGCTACTACCACTGAAATAATAACATTACTCAAGAAGGGAGAAGGAGAATATGATTAAAACAGCAAGACTGGTCACTAGACATTTGGGGGCAAATTTAAGAGTAGCAAACAGAGTTTAAGCTTGTAAAACAACAACATTCAAACACATGAATTTTAAAGACACATTGCAGAACAAACAAATGCTACATCTCACTTGTTCGGGAGCCATGTAAGACTTGGTTCCTGTCTTCTTTGTTCTCTGCATCCGGTTTTCATCATTGGAATCATTTTCACTGGTGACGAGACCAAAGTCCCCGATCTTCACCTCTTTGTCTTTTCCAAACATGATATTATCAGGCTGACAATTGAACAATTTAAATTAGTTCACAGCAACTAATGATTTTTAGTGGTAGCACACTGGAACACAGCAGCAGTACATCATGGTGCAGATAAAGTGGTAGTGTAGTGTTGTGGTGATTAAGAGGCTTACCTTAAGGTCCCTGTGGATGAGGTCTTTGGAGTGAATGTATTCCACTCCACTGACTATTTCCTGGGCGATGATCAGACTTTGTTGTCTTCTCTGTGAGTCTGGTGGAGTGTTTTTGTTCTGCTCTTTTATCCACTTTCTAAGTGTTTTGGAGTCACATAACTCCATCTCAATATAGAGGTAGCGTGGAGGTAAATTACTCCTATTTATAAGAAGAGAAGAATATAGTTAAAAGGTCAGCATCATGGTCATTAAAAAAAGGTACAGCATATTTTACAGGCAGAGAAAACTTACTGGTAATAGCTGTCAGTAGAAGTCGACATGTCGTCTTCATATCTGCGATCCTCTGTCCAGCAGCTGTAATATCTAACAATGTTTCTGTGGTGGAGTTCTGACAGTGCTGTAACCTCTCGCAGAGCTTTTCTGATCACAGAATTAAATGAAAGATGACTGAATAAATATCTCAAATTATCTTTATTGCATCAGTCACTGATATGCTTGTATGCTGAATACCACTACATACTTACTCAGTGCTGTGGACAATCTTTACAGCACGATAATGTTTCAGCAGTATGTTCTTTGCTCTGTAAACACGACCAAAGCCTCCTTTGCCGAGACGCTCTATAGAGTTGAAGTCTGACAGAAATCTGCAGGCAAATACAACATTGTTTAGGCATGAAAAGTGATTTCTTGCATGTAATTGTACATCAGTTAAAAGGCTTTTCATACCTTGACTGGGTTGATGTTTGCCTTGTATTGTTTTCAATGCTGTCATTGTTGTCAGCATCCTTAGGGAATAAAGTGAAGATATTTTATAGATTTTAAATGTGGAAAAGTCCTAACTCAGTAAATATGAATATTAAAAATGGAAGGGTTAGAGTGCCATTTGTAAGGCCCCGCTCTGAATCTAACATCAACCTGCATCTTTCCATTGATAAGATAAGATTAATGATACTCAATAGTAGGGATGCAACGATACCAATTTTTTCAAACCGATACGATACCGATACTTGGATCTGAGTACTTGCCGATACAGAGTACAAAAACCGATACTTCTACCACACACACACAAATGCAATGAATTGGAAGACAGGTTTTTATTTTATTCTCTGCCGATAATAAATAATATCTTAATAAAAATGACCACAAAAAACTTTCAAGTGAAAAATAAGCACTTCTGTTAAATTATTGCAGAGTCTCCACATTGTAATTTAACAAAATATCACTGAACTATTGGCACTGTCTCGAGCTTTCAGAATAATAAATAAACACTTCTGTTTGGAATAAAATAAATACAAATTAGATTTGAGAATAAAATAAACTTTTAAATTGTTGCAGAGTCCATATTGTAAACAAACAAACAAAATAACGAAAGTATTTGGCATTGACGAACTCCTCATCTGCCCGTGGATCATCAGTCCACTGTGCCGTTAAACCAAGGACTGACATCGCGCAAACACTGCTTGTCTTTACCTCTTTAGAAAGTTTTGGCACCATTATCTCTCTGATGTATGGGCGGCTGGGAATTTCATATCACAGCTCGATTATGCTGAGATTGACAGTGCAATCCTATGTTTTCCACGACCGGCATTGGCTGGTCATCCAGAGCGATAAAATGAGTCAGAGCCTCTGTTATTTTAACTGCCCGTGGATTTTCTCTTGACATTTTTCATCGCTTTTCCAAAACCTGAGTTAAAGTTGGCTGTTCCACACTGCTGACATTTTGTTTAGCCTAGCTACAGCAGCCTCCAGTTTCTCTTTTTTATCTGGAGCTGCCAGTCTCACTCGTCTAACCCTGTGCCTGTTTAGTGCGGGATGTCCCCCTAGTGGCCAATCTAAAAAACTACAACAGAAATGACAAGCCACCCTCTGATTAATGAAATAAGTTGGTATCGGTTCATGGTATCGGTTAACTTTTACGAGTTAATGATACCACATTTTACAGTATCGGCCCCGATACCCGATACCAGTATCGGTATCGGTGCATCCCTACTCAATAGTGTCACATTGCTTTTTTTTTTAATTTAGCAGACTTTCATGAATGTCGTTTAATCTTTGAGTGTCAATATTTTTACTAAATGTTAAAAGAAATGACAAACCTGGTCTGTGGATGGGGTTGATGAGTGTTGGAACATTATTGATTCACTTCTATCTGTAGTCGGGCCCTGCGATGAGGACTCAATGGACTCCCTTAGGGAAAAGAAGAGGGACATCGTTAGCATGCTATGTTCTTAGTCATAAACCTCTGTGGTCCTCTTTTATTAAACTGGTTTAAAATGAAGTTCTTGTTGAGTACCTGACAGATGTGCCAGTCTCAGACTCAGATGATATAAAGGATGCCTAAAATGCATAAACAAGTATTTGTTGTTACAGCAATATTTGTCATCACGGTAAAACACAAACATGGTTCTGCTACTACTGTTGTTTACTGTTGTAAGTCAGAGTTGCCTACTATAATATCTTCTAGATGCACAATTGCAAAGTGTACTTTGCATTACTTGAATATTTACCAAAGAGTTTATTATTCTTTTTTAAAACATTTGTTTTTATTGTTATTATGATGATGATTATTATTATTGTTATAATTATTATTTTCATTATGATAGGACAGACCTGGGACGTAGAAGGGTTTGATGAGTTATTTGCAGTGTATTGTGATGATGATTCACTGTTGTCCCTAGAAAAAGATGATAGATACATTTACTGTACAGCGTGCACTGTACACGCTACTGAAAGCATTATTATATAGTTATAATGCTGTTGTGGTGTCACTGAGTGCCTTACTGTATAACTAATGGTGCCAATGATACAAGTGAAGCACCATCTTCAGATGCTGTTGACCTGATGGACACCTAAAACACATAGAAAACAATAGACATCATTCATTTTATGCATATTTCACCCAAAGGGAAGCATTTGATTAAAATGTCACTACTGTTTATATTTTGCATTGTCTTTAAACAATCTACCACTCTCATGTTTTTGTTTGTTGAAATCAAGGCAGCAGAACATGCTAAATACCTTGCTGTCCCAGTCTGACTGTTCCTGAAGAGCAGACCAGGCTAACTCTGCTGCTTTCTGTTGGGCTTTCTTGATGCTATTCCCTTCACCCACAGGATATTCCTTGTTGTCAATTTTTAATTTGTACAAAAAACTGTGTTGTGAAAAAATGGGAATGTTTTAGATCATTACATTGACGGTTTTAATATTGTTGAACATCAGTCAGGAGTTGGTGTCTGAAGGATCAATTCAGATTAGAGAGTTTGAGGTATACTCACTGAGGTTTGTGAGGGGGGCCATCTCTCCCAACTAGATCATATGAATGGGAGCGTTTGGTTTTCTGACAATAGTGGTTGACAAGGCCTATGAAATTTGTCTCTGTAAAGCTGGTGTCCTTAGAGCTACAAACCATTGGAACTGAAGCTTCTGCTGCATTGTTTCTCTGTCAAGATAACAAGAAATACATCAGAGAGACAATTGGCCCAGGTTGGTTTTTCATTTCTCTCAACCAAAATCAAACAATATCTTACAGATTCCACCGAGTCCTGATGACCAAGCTGAGACAGGCTTTCCAGAGCATTTTTTGCTGCATTTTGCTTTGCTTCCTTCTTGGTCTTCCCCTCACCACTGGGGTAGGCTTTACCATCTATGACTGCCCTCAGGTAGAATCTGTAAAGACATGAGAGTTCTGTTATATACTGCTCAAAAAAAATTAAAGGAACAATTTGAAAACACATCAGGTCTCAAAGGAAAATTAATCATGCTGCATATTTATACTGATGTGGACTGGGTAAGAATGAGAGGATGCCACATCATCTGATGAAAAAGAAAATTATCAACCTACAGGGTGCTCTCTATCTCTAGGGGGAACTAAAGAGCAGCCTCCGAACTGCGTCCATCTCCCCCTGTCAGAAACATGTTCTTCTATCACACCAACCCTCTGCATGTTGCCCCTCATTACATCCATGAATCTTCTCTATTGCCTTCCTGTTTTCCTCCTGCCTGGCAGATCTGTTGTCCAGTATATCCACTATCTTCCTCATCTGCACACGTCCAAGACATTTCAGCCTTGTCTGTCTAATTTTGTCTCCAAACTGCTTAACCTGAGCTCTCCCTCTGATGTACTCATTAGTGACTTCCTGGTCACTTCCAGTGAAAACCTTTGCATCTGCAACTCTGCCAACTCCAGCCCCACCTCTTGTCCCCTCAACCACAGGATATTTCTTGGCAATTTGTGAAAAACTGCGTTGTGAAATAGTAGGAACATATATATATATATATATATATATATGTACATGTTCACTCAAATTGTTTTCCTTATCGTACAATGTTGTAGTGTTTTTGTATTGTTTTTCGAGTTATATCGTCTGCTATCTTATAAACTGCTTATTATAACATTAACACTTTAAGCATAAGCAGTGCCATTCTGACTGACACACCTATGACTAAATACCTTTTTGACTCTGAAGTCACCCATCGCACCAAGTGGAAGAGACCCTTACCCATTAGTGTCCTTATTTGAGATTTAATACCGGAAAAGTTCAACTTACACTTTATCATGTGGCGGTCCGTCAGAGCCAACATCTTCGTAACTCACTTCAGATTTACGCGTGTTTGCGTATTCGTTTAGTTTACCAATGTAGTTTACAGTATTCATCATAAATGACTCAGCAAGTTGCGCAGAATTGTAAGAAGACCGTGAAAAGCTCAGGATCCTTATCTCTTCTCCTCTTCTATCTTAATCCTGCGACTGTCTCTGGAGTGTCTCAGTGACCGCTTTCTATTCCGCTAGCCTCGAGTATTCATAGGTTTCGATTTCTTCAAATCGTTCCCGTGGCCTACGTGGTTTTAAACATATCGTAACAAACGAAACTCAAACTGAGCACCTAACCGGCCATTGGGCAACTTCCGTCGCGATCATTTTTGCTCTGAAGCAAAATTGGAGCCTCAGCAGGACTCTGCTCCTGTGAGTAAAACTTAAATTGACGGTGCACAAATATCGTGACTGCTCAGAAACGGTCCATCCCCGCTGAGTCTTTATTCCCCCCCACATGTTAAGACTAAAAAAACATTTCACCACCCAAGATTAAATTTTGTCTTCTTCCTGCTCCCTGACACTGCTGATTAGCCACTTCTTTTTTTTCACTCCCAACATGAAATATATAGGGCACATAACGACCCCCAATAAAAGAAGTACATCAAGTATAGAAAATGTCCAGAAGATCAGTGACTGTTGTTGATTTCGTTATCTTTATTACCAGAAAGTGTTTAGTGCAACTTGAAATGAACCATTTCTGGATTCAAAATAGATTATTTCATACCAACTGACAGTTATAACTTACAAAATGATTCTTTGTTTAAAGTAAACGAGGCAATCCATGCTGCATTCTCCAGTTTTCTTCAAGTACTGTACCACACCGTACTCCACAGTGATAGTAAAATATCAGTTCATCAAAAGACACATCCTTGTGCATTCAAGGTCCTCCGCGTACTTTGGGATATGACGATGAATTACGAATCACGACAGAAATGATTTTAGTACTTCCTTGTAGTGATCAGACAGTGTTACTCTGACGTTTCATATTTTTAAGCTGCATAAACAAGCGTTTGCACTCTTCCACATCACTCTTAAGTTTACTTGCTTCTGGTCGGTCTTCTGGTTTCATGCTCAGCATTGACCTTATAATTTGGCTCTGCAACAAAACAGAAGAGAAAGGAGAGATATCACATCGATAAATGCCAGCAGCGTGTCTGACAATATGGGAATTATTTTTATGTCACATGTTACGTATACATTGCATGAAAGTTGTTGTTTGTACATAAATATTGCTAGAAAATGTTTTAGTGTAGTGGTATTTTGGGGTCACTAGAATATGTCATCATGCATAGTGATGGTAACGAGTACCTGTAATTGATTACTTCGTCTTATACAATAAATAAGTAGCTTGCACAGAAGAAGAATAAGTATATGTATTTATTATTCACTTATTTGGTGATTATAAACAGCTGTTGAATTTAATGTTGACAACAAGAATTACACGATAAATTAACATACATGTCTGTGTTTTAATATATGAGCAAACAAAACAAAACTAGTTCCTGATTCTTTGAGAGTTTATAATTTACCTGTATGTAACACTACAAATGCCTTTATATCAGCTGTAACTACACCCCTGTTAGTGACCATAATAAAAGTTACCCACAAAGAAAAATACTTGGCACATTTTGTACCTCTTGGTGAAAATGAAGAGAAAATCCATGAAGAAATTTCTGGTTCCTTACATCTTCCCAAATCTGTAAATCATACAGTGGTTAAAAAAGACAAAGCACATTTAATTAGTGTGATAAAAACTAATAAGCTGTCCAATAGACATTTTTTAAGTGGGTATTTTGCTTTGCTTAAACATCCATTCATGGAACCATCCTGTTAGTTGCCCCTCTTTTGCCAACATCTGCAAATCTCTGGATACGGAAGAAAGTGACCTTTTCTTTACTGAGATCAACAGCAGACATCTTGAGTTTAAGAGTCAATAAATAAGTGAAAATGACCTGGCTGTGTAATGTGTTTTACAGGTTCTAATGTAATTCATTATCCCATCATATCACATCGGCCACAGCAGTGCATCAGCAGCAAAGCCAATAAACCGCTCCCGAAATATTTCTTCATAGCACGAGGTTCTAACTGATGATCTGATGATTTAAAATGATCTGAAAACAATTAATAAGTAACAAAGTAATACTAGATAACATGAAAAATGTGAAACGTGTCTCTGAACAACTCACTTTGGTCTTTTCTTCACCAGCTGGGATATTCCAAAGGAGTTCAAAAAATATCAGGCCAAAAGCAAATATGTCCACCTTTCGGTCATAAAGTGTTGAGCGCTTGCTCTTCTGTCATAAAACAAGATCAAAGTAAAAAAAAGTTCAGAATTCAAGCAGTTTGAATTTCCGAGGGCCAAAATGAATGCTATATCTATTACAGAGCAATCTCAATACAGGTGATTTCACCTGCTCAGGAGCCATGTAAGATGGGGTTCCTTTGTACACAGTTCTCTCTATCAGATCCTCAGCATTGTCATCTTTTTCAGTAGTGACCAGACCAAAGTCTCCAATCTTCACTTCTCCTTCCCGTCCAAACATGATGTTGGCAGGCTAAATAAATAAACAAAAGTAGCTTTATGGCTTATATGATGAAATAAATGATGTCATCATTTTTTCTGCCTCACCTTCAAGTCCCTGTGGATGAACTTCCTGGAGTGAATGTATTCGATTCCTGTGACTATTTGCTGGGCAATGTTCAGGCTTTCTTCTCTTCTCTTGGAATCTCGCAGAGACTTCTTAACATTTTGAACATTCTTCTCATCGATCCACACTCGAAGTGTTTTGGTGTCACACAGCTCCATCTGAATATAGAGGTACTTTACAGAGGAATCAGTGGAGGAACTGCGAGAAAAGAAAGATGGGTCTATTGGATTTGGACTTAAACGATAAGTCAAGTACAGCAAGGACTTGAACATGCAAACGGACTTACTGTGAACTACTGCAACTATCAGCTGTACTTTCTGGCTGGTATTCTGAATCCTCCAGCCAACATGTGTAGTATCGAACAATATTGGAGTGATGGAGTTCTGACAACGTCACCACCTCTCGTAGAGCTTTTCTGATCAAGAGGTGACAGAAGAAAAGTTAATAACAATGAACCTATTGTTTTCATGAAAACAAGTACGCAATATTTAAAGAAAAAAAACCCCGCCATTAAATACTTGACTTACTCTTTGCACCGGATAATTTTTATAGCATAATACTTCTGTAATAGTTTCTGTTTTGCTTTGAAAACACGACCAAAGGCTCCTTTACCAAGACGCTCTATGGAGTCATATTCTGATGTAAACCTGTTAAAAGGAACACACATTTCCCAATTATATCTCTGTGAAAAAGCATCACACAATGTAATTTCAGAATTTAAGTCTTCGTACCTTAATGATGGGGCTGGTGTATTCTGATTCTGACCATTTTTTGTGCTCTTGACTTTGAAATTGGGCATTATATCCTAAATGAAAGTCATAACATAAAAGTAAAAATTTGGAATACGAACCAATAAAATAAGCTAACATCATTAATCACTTCATACTTTACCTCTTTGCTGTGTTTGTGAGCATTTGGGAAATTTGCTGCAATCCTAACAAGACAAAATATCATTGGACATCAACAATGACCTCTGGCAAAATATTATGGCGCTTTAAAGTAGATGTTAAAAACTGAATTACCTTATTTTGGGCTTCACATGAGGACTTTGAACCTTAGTATTGGCAAATAGAAAAATAATAATAGTTATATTGTTGCATTAATTACTTAAGAAAAAACGTACAGAGTCCTCTTTTACTTTATGCCAAAACAATCTGTCTGCTTTACGCACTGGAATAATCAAGGGCAGATTTCACTTACAAAATACGTTTGAGAAACCTGAAATAGCTTCTACATTAGGCGGAGCATTACAAATAGATAAACCATAGCATAATTGAAATTCATAGGAAATAACAGACCTGCTCCTTGGGAGGGTTTGATGACTGGACGAAAACAACTGAGTCACTTTTACTTGTTGCAATGCTGGTTGATGTTGGATGACCGGAGTCCCTTGAAGAATGCAGTGAGACATTAGTAGTTATTCTCAGCACTAAATTTACCATCTTTATGGTTATAGTGCTCAGTTAGTGCCTCACAGTGTGCTTGGTGAAGTGAAGAACTTGGCACCATCTTCTGCTGACCTGACATTTACCTGAAAACACAAAGAAAGGGGTTTGTTTTTTTTTTATAGGGTTTTATTTAACCTAATATGTTTAAAAATGTAATTATTGCAAAGAGAACTATTTCGTTTCATTTTCACCTATCTCACATTCTTTTTTCTTTTGTCACCTGTGTTCCTTATGGAGTTTAATAGATCAGACCTTATTTAAGGAACGCACCCTCTTTTACTCACAGTTGTCATGTTGGCAGAGGGCCACGGTTCTGGTAACGGGACTTTTTGTTAGTTGTTACTTCTTATCCCCAATTTTTTTTTACTTCCTCACCCGTACAGGTGATGGGAATAAAGCAGTGACTGATGGAAGGATAAAAATGCACTGAGTTGGGCATTTCACTTTTGCTTTTAGGGGTAAAGAAAAAAAATCCACCCTCAAAAGTACAATAAAAGTACTGAGATCTTTCAGCACACTTAATTCTTAATGTATCACGGTTTCACCGGTCACTAAATAGTCAATGAGGTGGCCAAAATATTTCACATCAAAAGAGCAGAACATGGTAAATACCTTGCTGTCCCAGTCTGACTGTTCCTGAAGAGCAGCCCAGGCCAGCCGGGCTGCATTTTGTTTGGCTTCCTTGGCACTCTTACCTTCACCCACAGGGTATTCCTTTTTGTTGATTACTAATTTGTAGAAAAATCTGTTATGAAACGGTGAAACCATAAGTTAACTGCTTGCAATAAAACATCCATCAAGAGAGCCTGCGATGCCTATTAAAGGTTCAGTCATACTCACTTTCGATTATGAGGCGGTCCACATATATCCTCTTCAATAAATGTGTGGGAGCGGGATGTTTTCTGACAGTAGTGGTTGACAAGACCTATGAAATTTGACTCTATAAAATTCTTGTCTTTAGCCCTCACAGTCAAACTCTTCACTTGATCGCTGCAATATCAAAGACAAAATCAGAATACTGTTAGAGCAGTTAGAGCAGCAACTAATGAAACTAAATTAAATAATACAAT